ACATTCCCGTATTAACCAAACTTTTTTGTTGAGTTTCCTTTCTGTGCATTCTACAAAATATTGGCAAAAAAGTAATCAACATAACACAAAGAAAAGAAGACTAAAATGAAATGCAGCATGGTCATTTTTATAATAGAAATCAAATTAAAGAACATGTAAAATATAAAAATCAACGAAATGAGCATGTGACTGATTTTTTTCTAACACTTTGGCTCAATCGAGAAATTCGATCTCTTCAACCGAATTTTCGGGTTGACGAATCCTAAGTTCGATTTTAGGAACCGAATAGTTTGACAATATGGAACACCAAACCCTCGGCTCCTACTCTCGAACTTTTTTTTCAGAGTATCTCCGCCGTTGTTAAATTTGTTAAAAAAAAAATTGCGAACGTGAGTAATTAGCATTTCCACAAAGTATTCAAAATAAACAGAGCCAAAATATCTCCAGGTGTCTTTCTATACCATTATTGACCATAAGAATCAACTCAGCCCCTATAAAGGCACACTGCCTTCCTCTTAAACCAACGGTACACCTTACAGATTTTCGTAATCCTTGTCGAGGTTGTGACTGTGGCCTCTTTTCGTATCGGGCACTGCAGCCCAACATTCTTCCTCCAGTTTGATTCCTGGATGATTTCGTCTCATCTTGACCAGCCCGTGATCGCCCCAGTATTCGTTCCACGAGTTCATAATCAACCAGTACGGAACTTTCTTTTCCACGCCCCACCCTATCAACTTCACCGCATGGCCTCCTACAAACTCTGCATCTTTGGACGGCTCGTAGACTCCTGTACAGAATAGTCGTAAATCTTGGTTACTGATACTAAAATTCATTATAATAATCAAAGTCCTATGCCTACAATCCAGGTGTCAGCCATTATTTACCGAAACGACCTAAATGGACTTCATGTCGCAGTAAGATTACAGAAACGACATAGATACGAAACAATAGTTTCCCTGTAAGTATACATGCTTTTATGAATATGTTTTTGTGTAATTTTTAGCAAGGTATTGTTAGTGAATGATAATTGAGGTAAATAATAAATGAGGATTCAGATAAGAGACTATCTTAAGGCTCTTATCTTAATCCTCTTATTGATAGTAAGATCCAATGCAAGCATTGTGCAATATTGTTTGTTATGTTAATCTTGGCGCAAACTACTACAGTGTAGTAAAAATTAAAATCCAGTTTGTGTAAACTCTTTGAAGATGGCGTAATACCAAAACGCGTTCGAAAATAAAGATACTGATAATAAGAATACTTTTCAGTTATCATTCACCAACAATGTATTAGTAAAAGTCACGCAAAAAACTTAAAATAATGGTGCTGTTAAACCAAAAATTTAAAGGATTCTCATGAATACGTCAGGAACAACGGTGCCTAATTATGAAATACAATCCAAATGGCCAACATACAAATGGACTTCATTTTGCAATATGAAACTACTATTTCTTGATCATTTTAGGAACACCGTGCGTATTCATAAGTAGTTTCCATATGAAGATATGTGCTTTCATGGATAAGACAAAAATCGTATTTCCGTTTTGTTAATATAGTCCAAATCGCTATATTTTATATGGTGTTTGGCTTTTCATCGATCAGTGTTTCGTAGACATGTTAATATCTCGCCAAAGATTAGGCAAATTTCCCAATCTGTGAAACCCTTCCCGCGTAAAATTTTAAAGGTGGATTATTATAACGTGGTGCTTAAAATACCTCATCTAGTGGTCCATTTACTAAAAACAATCACCTGATTTATAGCTGAAGAAGTCGTTCATCACCTCAAACGCAGTTGTCGTCGGACCG